CGTCCTGGCTTTCTTCGCTGCCTCCGACGGTATTGTCAATGAGAACCTCGTCGAGCGTTTCAGTGGAGAGGTTCAGATCCCCGAGGCTCGTTGCTTCTACGGCTTCCAGATTATGATGGAGAACATCCACTCCGAAACCTACTCTCTGCTCATCGACACCTACATCAAGGAGCCTAAGCAGCGCACCTACCTCTTCGATGCTATTGATACTAGTAAGTTATTCTCCCATTGACTGTTATATCGTTCAATTGTCTAACTGGCATTTAGTTCCCTGCATTGCCAAGAAGGCCAACTGGGCCCTCCGCTGGATCAACGACCGTGAGTCAACCTTCGCTTCGCGTCTGGTTGCCTTCGCTGCTGTCGAGGGTATCTTCTTCTCTGGCTCCTTTGCCTCCATCTTCTGGTTGAAGAAGCGTGGCCTGATGCCCGGCCTCACTTTCTCCAACGAGCTGATCTCTCGTGACGAGGGTCTCCACACTGACTTCGCTTGCCTGCTGTTCTCCCACCTGAACCACCGCCCCGACCCCAAGCTGGTTCAGGACATCATTGTCGAGGCCGTCTCTATCGAGCAGGAGTTCCTGACTGACGCTCTTCCCTGCGGTCTGCTTGGCATGAACTCCAAGCTGATGTGTGAGTACATTGAGTTCGTCGCTGACCGCCTGCTGGTGGCCCTCGGCAACAAGAAATACTACAACGCCACCAATCCCTTCGACTTCATGGAGTCCATCTCCCTGGCTGGCAAGACCAACTTCTTCGAGAAGCGTGTCGGTGATTACCAGAAGGCTGGTGTCATGGCCAGCACCAAGCAGGAGGTCAACGCTGAGGGCGAGAAGGTCGTAAGCGAAGGTCTCAACTTCGATGAGGACTTCTAGACGATGTCCTTCTCTCTTCCCTCTTGTGTTGTTTTATACCCTCTCCCCTTTCACGTGATATTATGCCGTTTTATTATTCTGTTTTTTATTGATTGATGCAATTTCCGTTTGAAGGCTCGCATGGGAATGGCGTTTTTTTTGTTTTTTCTTTTTTTCCACTGGTCTATCCTGGACTCTGGTGTCCATGGATGAATGGCGGATTCTCTGTATCTAGATGTTTAAATCATTCAATGTGTCTCTAAAATATATCATATATAAATAGCACCAATGATCCTCTCAAAATACACGCTATCAATCGACCAATCTCATACTTACGAAGTACTTCAAACCCTTGAAACTCCATTTAATCCACAAGACCATCCATAAATTTGCAAAGCTAGCACAAACTCGAAGCCGGTATCTGGTATCTCACTCCCGATATCAAAAACCCTCAATCCCACATCTATGAATGCATCATAAAAGTAACAAGCGAAAAGAAGCAAATGAATCCAATTCAAACAGTTAATTTAATTTACCGCTTCCCCTTCCCGCCCTTCTTCTTCCCCTTCGCACTCTGTCCCTGTCCCTGCCCCTGCGTCTTAGCAGCCGGCGTAGCCTCCTCAGCAGGGGCATCAACCATCTCCACATCCGCGGCAGGCACCGAAGTCGATAACCCCAAACCCGCTACATCGGCACCAGCAGCCAGCTTGCCCAGAGTCGTAATCAGGCGTCCGACTTCCTGGAGCTTGTTTGTGCGGTAGTGCAGACAGATTCCGGTTGTTGGGTTGAATGTTTTCAGAGTGAGGGTTGCGGTTGCGGTGGGGTGGGCGGATGTGGTGGTGGTACCACCGGTGGCGGTGGCTTTGGCGTCTTTTCGGACTTGGGATTTGTGGGCGCGGATTATGTTTCCTCGGCGGTTTGTGGGGAAGGAGTATTTTGTTACTATGCGGGTCTGGGGGGGTTGTTAGTTGGTTTGGATTTGGATTGGGGTTTGCGGTTGGGGGGTCGGTGTTCATTGTTGCCCGCTGTGGGGAGACGCGGTGTGGAAGATTGCATGGAGGGTTTATAGAAGGTCCTGGTGCTTACTGTGTCTGGGTACGCTTGTAATAACTGCGCCGATTGTTCCAGGTAGGCCTGGGAGGTGGGTAGGTAGGGCATTTTGGAGTTGTGGTGAGTAGAGCTCGCGGTTTTGGATTGAGAGGTGTGGTGGGATGCGCAGGTTGATGGGTATCTCTTTTGGTATTGCGGGGGGTGCGTAGAATGAAAAGTCACAAATCAAAAGGAATTATCCGCTTAGACTCAAGTCTCGAGAGAGGAATTGGTTGGCGGGAGAGTTGGATGGAGAGAATGTGGAGGTGTTATCAGTGTGCTGGCGGCTTTTTCTATGTCTTGGCATCAAGGTTCACTCAACTAACTATACTATGTTGTACACTTCGAGATGGCCGTGGAACACTTGATAATTAAATATGCTCTAATATTTATTTATTCTCTTGAGCTAAGCTCAGCCCTCGAGACCTAACTAAATACAATCATTAGCCCCAAGAGCGAGAGCTAAGTCTCTATTAGCCACATATACAACCAATGTGAACATACAGCACGCTAATTGATAGTAAATCGGCCAAAAATGGCTATCTTAGACCTATGAACTCCCTTGAAAGAAACAATCTACGTCCCCCTTTATTCCCCGTGTATACTTCTCTTTTTCCCTTGCAAAAAGCTTACCACACTGCATTCATACAAAAATCCTGGAAGTTTGCGAATAAATGAAGCATCGTGGTCTACTGTTTTCACATAGCTAGGATTAGGCGTGAGATGTTTCATAGACTCGCGATCAGGAGCTGTGTTCGTTCGTGGTCAAGTTTCCTGCTTCCACCAGAGATTTTATGAAGGCAGAGATGGCCCGAATGGCAATGCGAGCAATCTTGTCACCATCACCTGCGTTCGGGTCGAAGGAGCACACAGTAAGTGAGGTTGGGAGTGACTTTTTTGGGACGAGCTCCATACAACGAATGAGATCCGACTCAAACATTCCACCAGGCGACGGAAAGTCATTGACTTTGCCGTAAGATTCGTCCAACACATCAAGGTCGAGATGAACCAGGGCAGGACTGTAGTTCTTTTGCTCGAGATGAGTCTGTAACTCAGCCGGATAATCGACCTTGTGTGACCTCTCCCCCCAGATTGCAGTCATGCCTGCATCGATCACGCGCTGCCGTTGCACTTCAGACTGATCGCGCAAACCGCAGTAAAGAAAGCGGTTGTATTCAAGAGACTGATATCCGGGTACTGATGAGATAAGAGTCTTCCAGCTCTCTCCACGAAGCATAGACAATCCCATAGCATCGAGATAGCCATTTTCGTTGACATCAGGCGAATCAAGATCATCGTGTGCATCGAAATAGATGAAACCCAGATCCTTAATCCCGAGGCCACAAGCTACACCCACACTGGCCATACAGTTACCTGAAAGAACCAGTGGGAATTTGTTCTGAGCAACGGCTGCTGTAACGGCTTCAGAGGTACGACGTAAGATTTCAAAGCTGCGTCCAATCTCTCCTTCAAAGTCATCAACAGGACTGATTTCTTGGATGTCGTATTTGATCTGCAGGCATTCCAATTCATCGAACAAGCCTTGCGAACGAATCCGTTGTGGTCCGTTTCCCACACGGTGATCGCGAATACCGACATGGTACGGGGAGAATATAATGGCGATGGCGTTCGCAGGCATGGTTAGGGTTTGATGAGGCTCCGTATGGAAGTGATTTAGAACAATGATATTGCATCCTATCTACCTAGAGACAAGGCCAAATTTATGTATTTCCATAGATAAATCTGAGGTCATGGATCCATACATGAATTTGTAAGCGACTGGAGTCAAATCTCTCCCGGGCTTTGAGAGTCAAAAACGGGATTTGGCCAAAACCCGCTTTACATCTCGCGGTGGTTCATATATAACTCACTAAGAATATGAAGGAATTCCAACAGAATATATGCGTTATGTGATCCAATGATATGAGTAAATCATACTATACCAAGTCTTTGGGGTTGACAGTATGCTCGATAGAAGCTCATGAGGTTTATAAGGGCCGCGGCCATTTCGACTATTTATGACTCACAGGCTGATCAGAAGTTAATAATTAGTAGGCTAGGTTATTTCCCAAAGCTGCTTCATTTCTTCAAACGTCCATCAAATTCCATCAAATTCCATCAACTGTATTCTTTATCAAAACGCCATGGATCGTGTCAGCGAATACCAATATCTTCAAGCCCCGAGCTTTGCCCAACTAGGAGATTTCGCCAAACTGCCACTTGGATTCCGCAGGATGATATGGGGATGCCTTTTTGATGACATGTATACAGGCCCCCATGTCTTATTCATCCTACGTTGCAACAGCTACCTCTAATAAGAGATATCCGACTATCTTTACACCGGAATGAGATACGGGATTCGAATTTCCGGCACTAACGACAGCCTGTAGTGGCTATATGTTCATTTGGTTTTCAAGAGAATATCTGCCAGATCCGTGGACTAAACACCATCAAAGCCGTCCAAAAACATCTTACCAACTTTCTTGATAGAATTGAAGGAAAACAGATCTTCGTTGACTTTATGTCACGACGATATCAAACAGATGTTGCGACTAGAAGATAGAGCTAATCGACTCGTCGATATATTGAATGCTATGCCTGTCACTCCTACCGAGGGTGTGAGCCTGGAATGAAACCCGCCGAAGAGCATCAATCACTGCTCAAGTACAACGTAATTCATCCACAAAACCTTCGAAACAACAACAGAAACATAAATCAAACAAACATCAGTATCCACGAAAGGTGATTTGCTGATTGTCCACGTTCATTATTGCCGGTTAGGGAGATTAGCTGCACACGGTCCCCTTAATGCATGTAAGGCATGTCAGCTTATCCAGGAAACTTCTGGAAGATAAAGGAAGCTACAGGAAAGAAACAAGAACACTCTAGAAGACACAAGAATCTTCTCAGGTCTTACTTTGCCAAGGCGTTGCTGTGTATATAACTATCTCTGCTGCTGGTAGCAGAAATCTTGTTTATCAGACCTCCAACTTCTCACAATCACATTGACGACCACTCACAATCACTCACAATCACTCACAATCACTCACAATCACCACCATGGCATACCGCATAATGGTCTTTGCACCACGCAAGTCCAACATCACACACGAGGAATTCAAAACCCGCTACGAACAGCACATGCGCATGGTAGCGGGTATCTGCGGCGATGCAGCCCCGGTTTCGCACACACGATCGTATCTAAAGCATGATGCGGGATCTAATCCGATGTTGCTGGCGGGGAGCGTTCACGAGACGTACGATGTCGTGGTGACCATGTCATTTGAGGATGAGGCTGGGTTTGGCAGGTTCTGTCAGGCGTTGGATACGCCAGAGGCTAAGGCGATGATTGAGGCCGATGAGGCCGGGTTTTGGGATCGGGAGAGGATGAAGGTTATGGTTATTGAGGATGTAAGGGAGGGGTTGGAGTAGGGGGAGACAGGGAAGGATTCGAGTTATCTTCTTTGAGTGAGCTAAAGATGAACAGACTAGACGCATGTCTATAGCACTAGGGAAGAAAGCAGGGTCAGGAAAACAAGGCACTTCCCATATTTGAACAACTATACAATATGCCTAATCTCATCTCTCATATCTCATACTATACACGCCCTGCTAGGCCTTGTGAAATATACACACTAACAAAAACATACCGACATCAAACATAACTACATGAAACAAGAAAACCCGTCCTCCAATATATATCCAAGAAATAAAACTCCCATATATCATACATCCCAGAAATCATCGCATATTGTGGATCATATATGCATCCACAAACGTCCATAAACGCATGACTTAAGAGACAGGCCGATGGCACTCTGAGCAAATAAGCTTCTGCTTCCCATCCCTCCCCTTGACACTGCGGAAATTGGTCCCATGACAATTATCACACTTGAGCACGTCTTCCTCTGCATCATCAGTCGAAGTCGTACACTCACTGCTCAGCACGCTAGTACCAGAACTCATCCCGCGCTCGCGCGACGGGATTCTATCCGGCTTGAGGAAGTCATTCGAGTTACGGGACTGCATGGCCAACGCATCGTGCGTGATCTTACTCCAGTACGCGTAGCTGCGGTCGCCCTGTAGCAAGAGCGGATTGTCTGGTGCTTTGTTGCTGGTTAGGAGGTCTGGGGATGAGGCAATTTTTGAGGGTTGGGCTTTGGGGCTTGGGGCGTTTGCATCGTTGTTATTTCCGTTTAGCCGGCTCTTCTCTCCGCTTTGTAGGCGCGGCGATGGGGGTGGGGATGTAGTGATGATAGATACTGATTCGTGTGGGCCGACACTTGATGGTCGGGAGGAGGCTAGTCTGGACATTGCTGGGCGGTGTTGCGGGGATGGACTGCGGGTTTGGAGGCCGGAGCGGGATCCTTCGGTGCTGGAGCGGTGGCGGATGACGGAGTTGCGCCATGAGACGATGCGCTCGGAGGGGGTTTTGTGGGTGGATTCTTTTCCAATTGAGGAGGCGGCGCTGCGGCGGGCGGAGTTGGAGCGGCCTAGGATCCGTCGTGAGATGGTGGAGTTTGTGTCCCAGTTTTCGTAGCGTCGTTTTTGGTACGCGCAGTCTTGTCGGAGGACTTTGATCTTGCCGGAGTAGTCGGCGACCACGATGATTTCTCCACCTGGATGTTTGGATCGCGCGAGGTACGAGGGTGATTCGTGGGCCATTTTGCTGATGATGGATAGGCGAGGTGCTGATGCAGAGCGCTTATGGGGTTTTCCATTTTCGTTGCCTGGGCCTGTTGGCTCCGGACCCATTAGAGCTACCGGAGGTGGGTTGCAGATGTCATAGATTGGATCTTCTGATAGGGCCAGGACCTGTTTCGTTTGGATCGGCGCCATGATTGCGGCTGTTACCATGGCGGACTGTGTCTCGAATACCTCCACCGGCTGCTTTTCAGAATCTTGTTGCGCAGACTGAACTGGCCACACGTATGCCCTGCGATCCTCACTTCCACATATGATGTACTTGCCATCGTTGGTGAATGTAGCTCTAATTTGGCTGCAGGTGTTCTCGTTACCGCGAAATTTAGCCTCCAACGATCGAGAATGGAAGTCATACAGCCTGATGCGGGAGTCGTTGCTAGTAACCAGTAGCTTGATATCACTATCGATATCATCTTTACTATCGTCCCTGGGAACCGTCATTGTATCAATTCCAGTGATTTTGCTACCCTTGGAATTGCGCCCACGGGCCGATCGTACATGGATCTGGGCTGATACCTTTAGGCCCTCAGTATCATAGACGCTAAGCATGCCATTCAAACATCCGGCAATGGAGTATCGGCCATCTGGGGTAAATGCCACGGCAGTAATCATATCGGGCACGGCAGTCACAAAAGCCACGCTCTTATCCGGGATACTCCAGAGTCGCAATTTCGTATCGAGAGATCCAGCAAGGAAGAAGCGGTCGTCACGCGGGTGGAATTGAATTGAGGTCACAAAATCACTGTGCTGGAAACAGCAAAGACATTCCGGTCGAGAAACGTGCCATAGTCGCACTGTTTTGTCCATTGACGAGGAGAGAAGGAAGTTATTCTGGTCCACAAGTTAGCACGGCCGTTCCCATCTAGTTGAATGTTTGAGTATGCATACTTTACTCCAACTCAGGTCCAATATACTTCCCGTGTGTCCCTCATACACCTGAACGGGCTCCGGCTGGAACACAGGCGCCTTCAAACCGGAACTATCTCGTGCGTCTACGGGTGTTGCCTCTTCCCCGTTGGCATCCTCGCGCTCCTCGGGTGTAGCGATAACAGCCCACACTCGAACCTTCCGGTCCTGGCCAGCGGCCGCGAGATATTTACCATCTTTCGAAACCATAAGTGCCCAGATGGCCTTTCCGATGTGATCACCATTCTGCAAGACCGAGGACGTAGATATCCGTCTATCTGCGGGTTTGGGCGGTGGGCCGCTGCCCTCCAGTTCCTGGGCCAGAAACACGCGATTGAACGTCTTGTCCTTTTTGTAATGGGCTCGCACCTTTAGGTATTTGGACGGAGGAGGGTGTCGAGGTATAAACCCAATTAGATGCGAAGTGTCAACGGACATGCGGTGCGCCTCAGAATCTGACGTTTCATCGTCCGCCTCAACCGGCTGGTCTTTTTTCTTGTTTCCAATGATTCGACTGAGAAAGGAAACACCTTTTCTGTAGTTGAGAAGAGTAAATCGCAGGTCAGTCGCTTGTATTATAAGAGTGTTTGGTTGCGAGAATCCTGGGGATGGGTCTTCTCAAGTGGACCATGTGAGGGAGGCGCAAAGAAAACCCCGACACACGTTTCGGCGACGCAAACAGTCGGCGCAACTGGTCCCAAGACAAAGTCTAAAAACTCACTTCTTCTCTTTGGGGTGTTTTGAGGTAGGCGATGAATCGTTCCGGGCCAGGCTTTTCTCTGGCGGGCTGTACTCGGAGCCAACAGCCTCTGCTTCATATGAGGCACTCCCCAGTAATTTCAGGGGAATGGACTTTTGGGTATTGGTGCGTTGGATGATGTGCTACAACAGAGCACGGCCCTCCTGTCAGCTTGGCTCCTGCATGTCCGTATATGTATGTTGATGCGGGTTGTACAAAGTAAAGCACATGATGGGATGTGTCGATTCGGCGCAAGTCTGCGACTGAGAGCTTACCTGCGATAACGGATCTATGGCATTTAACTCGGGCTTCTCGTGTAGAATATTCGAGGTCGAATCTCGCAACGAGCTACCAATGCCCGATCGTCGGGGATTCCGGGCATCTTGAAGACTATGAGTCGAGCCCGATGCGACATCCGATGTGGCCGAACCTAAACAGTTCCGTCAGCCTCTGGGTCATTGACGTGGTTATTTCTGTTCTTTTTGGCGCGTGATAGGGGACAGTCCACCGGGCGGGTAGCGCATGGCGCATTGGAGTTCTCTAGGCCAGGCCAGATTCAAATCGCAAGAAGATTCGAAATTCAAAATCCAAGATTGCGACTTACCGGGGAATGTCGAGGTTCCGAGAGGGGTCAAATCGGCCGCGGGGGTCGCAACTCGTAATTGGAGATTGTTTCCCTCCATGTGTTCACATGCACGATCGCATGGGGGGTGGTATATCAAGAAGTACACAAATGCAAATGTACACGAGACTTAAGAAAGAAAGAAAAGTGAAGCGGCAAATACCGGATAGCAGATGACATCAAATTGGGGGCGATGGTGGAGACCCTCGTTGCTTATTTGCTCGGAGATATAAAAGTATAAAATATAGAATCTAAAATGGATAGAATCTAGAATGTATAGAATATATAGAATTTAGACTAAATGCGCGATTGAAGCTTTCTCGCTCGGTCCTTTGCAATATCACACATTCCCTTCGAAGTCAGTATAATGGCGACTCAACGATAAGAAAACATTACCTGAATGGTCTCTTCAATCTCTTTATCCGCATCAGCGCGGTCAATGCGCTGGCGCATTTCGACCATAATCACCTCACGACTGCGACCATTAACAAATGTACTATAACTCTCGAGTCAGCATATATAGATCACTGCGCAAGAAACGTGGACCTACACAAACCGCAAACCCGGAAACTTCGCTTCGTATTCCGCATTCAGTGTTCGTAACTTCTCCGCCTGTTCCGCTGCGCCTTCATTCAATTGGGCTTGTTCCTTTTTGCTCAGCTCGCTCAGATGTTCTGGGTTGGCTGGGGCCCGACCAAGACGTGGATGCGATCCCAAAATACCAAAGAGCACGTCATGGTCAGTAGGTGAATTCGGGGCTGAGAGTGCAGACATGCGACCCCCGACGGCATCGATGAGGTTGGTGTATGAAGAGAAGGTCTGGTTGGCCAGCACGGGGATCATCAGTCGGTGGAGCTCTGGAGATGGTTCGAAGAGGGTATCGAGTACCCGAAGCTGGGTCTCTTGGGGCAGGGAAGGGATCGTCGATGGCGGGGGAGGTCCATGGTGTGTTGAATATGATATGAATATATGAAAAGGGAATGTGTTGGAATATAAGTAGAGATGTTGAGTTTCGTTCGGAGTACGCCGAGGCGGAGAACAGCGGGAATATGTTGGACTTCAAGGATACATTTATCTAAACGATTGTAACTACGTAGTTACATATATTGTAACTAACGTATTTCACCACCGAGTGGCCACAACCACCGAGTGGCCACCCCACCCAAAACGCGTCAATTAATTTAATCCCTTCTTCTTCAACCACCCACTATGCCACCAATTCGCTCTCAAAGCTCGAAAAATTCAATTGAGCAAGAGGGTAGGCTTTTATTAGCTATCCAGGCTTTTAAAAATGGAGATATCAGTAATATTACTCTCGCTGCTCGCACTTTCAATGTGCCGCGTTCAACTCTCCGCCGCCGCCTTAGCGGCGTCAAGACCGCGCGACTTCTCGCGCTAATTCGCATAAATTGACAGAACTTGAAGAGGAATCTCTTGAAAAATGGATTATCTCTATGGATTCTCGTGGAGCAGCCCCCCGGCCCTCTTCCGTACGAGAAATGGCGGATCTTCTTCTTCAACAACGTGGAACTACCCCGGTTCTTTCGGTCGGCGAAAATTGGGTTACGAAATTCGTGAAACGACATCCTCTCCTCTCCTCCCGATTCTCGAAACGGTATAATTACGAGCGTGCGAAATGCGAAGACCCTAAAATCATTGGGGAGTGGTTTAATCTGGTTCAAAAGACGATCCTTCAATTTGGAATCGACCCCGATGACGTTTATAACTTTGACGAGACCGGTTTCGCGTTAGGATTAACCGCGACCGCGAAGGTTATTACGAGAAGTGATATAACCGGTCGGCGTAAGACTTTACAACCTGGAACTCGCGAGTGGGTGACAGTAATTGAATGTACGGGTGCTTCTGGCTGGGTGCTTCCTCCGTGTGTGATTTTTAAAGGCAAAGTCTTCCTCGAATCTTGGTTTAAAAGCGTCCCGAATGACTGGCGCTTTGAAGTAAGCCCTAACGGTTGGACTTCGGATGAAATTGGACTTCGTTGGCTCGAAAAGCTCTTTATTCCTTCGACTTCTTCGCGTACGAAGGGGAGGTATCGGCTTCTAGTACTCGACGGTCACGGAAGCCATTTAACACCGAAGTTCGACGAAATCTGCGAACAAAATGGTATTATACCAATTTGTATGCCTCCGCATTCCTCTCACCTTTTACAACCTCTCGATATCGGCTGTTTTGCGGTACTAAAACGTGCGTACGGTCGGTTTGTTGAATTCAAAATGCGGAGTGGGATAAATCATGTCGATAAACTTGACTTCCTCGAAGCATACCCACTTATACGAATTGAAGCTTTTAAATCAGAGACTATTAAAAATAGCTTCGGAGCAGCTGGTTTAATACCTTTTGCACCCGATCGAGTGATTTCAAAGCTTGATATTCGTCTTCGAACCCCGACCCCCCCTCCGAGCCGGGGTAGTGATTGGGACCCAAAAACCCCTTCGAACTACGTCCAATTACAAAAACAAGCTTCGTCAATTAAAGCATTGCTTCGTATAAGATCAAGGAGCCCTCCAAGTCCTCTCAATTCCGCTATAAACCAGGTTTTAAAGGCGTGCCAGATCACTATGCAATCCGCCGCACTTCTTGAGAAAGAAGTAAGCGATTTACGCGCCGCCAACGAGAAGCAGAAGCAAAAGCGCACTCGATCCCGAAGGCAGATACCCGCCGAAGAAGGCCTCTCAGTTCAAGAAGCATCTGCATTAATTATGCAGCAACTGGAAGCAACTGAAGCACCTTCCCCCGCCGCCGGCATACCTAGAGAATCGGGTTTACAACCACGTACAAAGCCCCCCCGGGGATGTGGAATATGCAGATTGCCAGGGCATAGAAGAGAAACATGTCCAGATAGACCAATTAGTTAGTTGAATTAATTTAATGGAGTTTTGGTTGAGAAAAATGCATTTAAATTTAATATGTAGGGTTGGGGTGGCCACTCGGTGGTTGTGGCCACTCGGTGGTGAAATACGTTAACTATTGTATATATTTAGTGTGTTTCATATCTTTAGTTTAACGAACTCCTTTACCCCAACATATTCCCCATCTCGAGTTCGAGTACAATCCCATTGAGCTCGTTCTAGATAAAACGTACACATAAAAAAGGATTCAAATTCAATTGACTATATCCTACAGTCTCTTTTTTTTAAGGGGATAATCAAAGGTGGAGTCAAAAGGAGATGGCCCCCTGAGAAGAGTTCGCCTAAACCAACTCTGTTTTCATGAAACCGCCAAATCCGCACGGCCTTGATTGGGCTCGCGATCTTAAGATCCAAGTCGATTAGTTTACCCATTTTCTTCTTCCCATTACATTCGGCTTTGCGCCTCACGTTCTCCATGCGGCTCACGCCATGTCTTTGAATGGGCTCGATACTCCCCCCGTCCTCGAAGCCTACCAAAGTGCCCTGGCCGACGCGGGCGGGTGGTGAGTTTACCCCTTTCGCAGTGTTTCAACTGCGATAGATTGCACAGTCACTGACCCTATGTTTCAGGTTTCTACTACATTATGTTGCAAGAGATGAGGTTGCCCTTCACGAACGAGGCACCGGCGGGGTGCCCGAAATCAGGAATGCCATCGACGGCTACGAGGAATGCTCGCCGCTCTATGGCTTTCTTCAATACCGGCGCAGAAAAGTGATCATCCGGTACATGCCGGAGGGATTATCCCGGCTCATACTCGGTATGTCCAATTGCCTTTCTAGAGAAATTTGTCTAATCTGTCCCAGCTCGAAGCAATGTCCAATTCCAGTCCGTCACCGACAAGTTCACCCCCAACGACACCGTACTTCCTCTGTCCAAGGCCTCCGATCTCACCGAAAGCGCCTTGTCCTCCGCCTGTCTCCTCCATACCGCTTCAACCTCAATCACCTCTTCTTCGAGCTCGCTTCGCCGCCGCCGGCTGATGGAAATCACGGAAGATGCCGAGGAAAATGGCACGAAGGATGAAGCGCCGATACCAATCCCCCCTCCCCAGTCGGAAGCCCGACGCAGACCAAGGAGCGTCAAGTCAGAAGCTACCCTAGTGCCGTCGCCCATCGAACCCCCTGTGGAACCGGAACTACCTCCGACATCACCGGAAAGCGAAAAAGCCTCAATTGATCTCATGCCACCTCCATCCCGGGCGAGCTCCAGAGCTACAATCTCTCGAGGGAGTCCAATCGAACCACAATCCGCAACAATGTCCCCCAGGTCCATAAAATCAGATCGCTCCCGCTCCAGCTCCAGGTACCGAACTATTTTGGATGAATTCCCCCGTCCTTCAGAAGAGGCCCGGTTGTCTACTCAGTCCAGTCGCCCTTCGCTCCAAGATTTGGAACGGGCCGCGGGATACACCCCAAAGGTTAAGCTGGGACCCCGACCGTCCGTGGATAGCAGTGGAAGGCCACGTACAGCAGGCAGTGCTCGAAATTTAGACCAGCGCCCCGTGGCATCCCTACCGACAAATATGCGCACTTCTTCCGTGCGGAAGCAGAACGGTGACGTGCCCCGCCCTCGATCTCAGGGGAGCACTTTTGCAAATAAGCCCACTAGTCGCGTTCCGCCAGTCCCACCTTTGCTGGTCCCACCCCCCTCTATTCCTATTTCAAGACCTCAACTTTCCCCTGGCGCCAAATCTCTTGGAGCGTTGTCGACCTCCTCGGGATTGACTCCTGAGAAAGAACGTTTGATGAAGGCTTTGCAGCAAAGAAGGAAGAATCTGGCCAAGCGTGCGGAGGAAACGAACAAGAAGCAAGTCTCCGAGGAAGAGGTTAAACCAGTAAAGGATATTCCTAAGGATCTGGAAGACGATAAAGAGAATCTCATTCAGATTCACTATCCTGACGCTGAAATGATGATGTCTGAGCCTGAGACAATTCAACAAGACCGACAGTTCCTTTCGGCAAATTCACCCATACCTCCTGAGCCTGCCCCTGAGCTTGTTCCCGAGTCTATCCTTGAACCTGCCTTCGTGCCTGTTCGTGATTCCACTCTGGAGCTTGCCCCCAAACCCGCTCCTGAGACCATTATTGAACCCGCTTCTGAGTCTGTCGTTGAGGCAGTCGCTGAGCCCATTCCTGAACTTGTTTTTGAGCCTGTTGTTGACTCAATTGCTGAGCCCAGTCGCGAACTGGCTCCTGAGCCCGTTGGCCCATCTCCTGCGGCTGTCCTCGAACTAGTCGCCGAGCCAATTGCTGAGTCTGCTGTGACTCCTGAGCCCGAGCAGCCTTCTGAGCCTCTCGAGACCGACTCAGAACCGATTGTCGACCTTCCTCTTGCCAATGCCGAGGATGGGCAATCCTCATCTGCGGACACAAATACCGACAATCCCATCCCAACCGATCGCGCTGCTACACCTTCAGAAACTGTCAAGGCGGAAATAATACAGACGCCCCCTGAGGATGAAACACGCACTGAGCACGAGGACCCCGCAATGCCCAGTCTCGCCCCACCTACCTTTAATCTTGACGTTCCACCTGAAAATGAGCCTTCGGACGCTCCGCGGCCTGATCCAAACGTCCCCGACACACAACTCAAAAATCCCCCAGTTGCGTATGTGCCAACTGACGAGCCTTCTGAGGTGCCTATCTCAGCAGAGGCCCTTCAGGCGGTTCCCCTCCCCTCCGCTCCCTCTATTACCTCTCCAGAAAGCACTGGCGTAGAAACCCCAGCTGCTCCCGTTTTCGTCTCAATTGAGGTAGATGAGCCGACCCCTGATCATCCGATTGCTGAGCAAGCCGAGCGTTTCCCCCTGGATCAGAGACGCAAGGTCCGTCTGGAGCCTATTCAAGTGCCTACCCCAGACTACTCGGACGACGACAACCTCCTTTCCGACGATTCATTCATGGAGGAATTAACCT